CAGCGAAATGTGCGAAATAAATCCAGAGGTCCATTTCGCATTGCAAAAGATATTGACAGGGACAGATAGCGCAAAATTTCGCAAATACTGAGTCCTATCGTTATACATTTACCATAAGATGAATTTCCCATCAACTTCATCATTTCTCCACGTAATTTATAACCAGGACTTGTATCTCGGACTCTTCTTTCATTCGATACTTGCTCAGAAAACGACTTGAAATGTGCTTTAAGTATGTATCTTACAGCAAAAGCAATATTTGAAACAACCAATCCATGCTCAAGATACCATTTCAGCAGTTTAGTAGCAAACATCATCGTCTCACCAAACATACTTTCAACTAATCTGTTACTTTTGTAATTTGGTTTGGCATGTGCCTGTGTGTCAAGGCTTAAATCATTGCATGTAATCTCAACATTCTTGAAAATAGGAGGCATTACAGCAAAGTATTCCTTTAAATGCTCAGGAACAGCAATATCACATTCTATCATTCCAAAGAACGTGTTATCCAAGACATCTTTCAGAATATCGGGATAAACTTGAACTACTTGGTGCTCACCACACGGCATATCTTGACTTATCGCCCACAGATATAAAGTATTGGTATCATATCCAAGTATTCCCTGACAAAGCTTTCCTTTTCTAATTCTGGTCGTCTTTTTCTTGATAATGATGAAATACGATACTTGGACCACCAACCAGATTATCTCTGTATTTGTGGTACAATTCGTCATTTCCTTTGAATAACTGAAACTTGCAGTCTTTGCTTTTTGTGTGCCAGAGATATTTCAGAGTGAGTCTAGGAACAAAGATGCCGTTTTTGTGGATATCAAGATTCAACGACTGAAAGAAATTACCCAGCTTCATTGTCGCTTCTACGCCTGGCTTCACATCCAAATTGTTGTAGTCGATCAGCAAATCGTACAGGTTGGTGTGAGTAAGTACCATTTCATTATAATCGTTTGATGAAACTGATTCTCCCTTTAGATTGTTGTAAAACCACTTTTTGGATGGAATATGTGAGTGTTTTAAGAACTTGAATGATATCAGAATATTGTGTCAACTTTGGATGTTCATCAATGTATTTCGATAAATTCCGAGTTACTTTATGTGGAAATATTCCCATTGTGATTGTGTGTCAAACGTTTTCAAGAACTTGTCAAATAAAGTATTTGGTGGTTGAAAAGCAAGAATGTGTTTAAAAGCAAACGATCCATTTGATATCATTCGGTATTTGTTACATTTGATAATGTCATTCACTTGACCGTTTTCAGGTGAATGAAACTCACAACTCCAAATTGATCTTGTGGTATATCCCATTTGTTTGAGAGCTGATTCCTTGTTTGCTGTCTTTTCATACAATATGTTCATCGTATCTCCAGTTAAAGGATTGATATCTTGTAATTTGTGACACTTTCTACATCAGTGGAAAAAGTATCCCAGAAAGTCATAGATTGTGTTTGATTCTTCATCGTAGTCATCAACATTGTATCGTCCAATCTTTTCGCTTTGTTCAATATTACGACCTAGTTCTCCTTCAATTGAATTAATCCAAGGCTTTTCGCATTTGAATACATTTGCATGTTTTTTAGAGTGTTTCAAGACTTGTGGAGGGTATTTCTTGATGATGTCAATGCCATATGATGAGCTACTGAAGCCATAAATAGCCAGAACACCAAGAAATTCTAGTAATTGTAATCTTAATCGTTTCTGAACCTTTGCATCGTCCAAATTGGCCATTATTCCAAAGAACCGAGAATACTTTGAATACAACGATTGCAGATATTTGTGTCCTATTTGATCCATTTTTGTCATTACTATATCCAAAGCTTCTTTAGTTGTACCTTCAACTGGGATGAATTGAGCCTTGTTTTCTTCACTTCCAATGAAACTTGTGCTCAAAAGTTTGTGTGTTTCAATGAATGAGCTTCAAGTTGGTCGTAGATTTGACTGATTTCAACCAAGTTTCAAAATCAAAGTAGATGAAATATGGATAAAATCTCATTTCTTTTGGTATATTAATTACATTCAATTCGTTTCAATTCCAAGGAAAGCGGTTGTATCTTGGATTCCGGAAGTTCAACAAAAATACAACCATTATCTTCGCCATAACATTCTTTCAAAAAAGTAGTCTTGCCGCATCGATATCTACCAGACAAAGAAATCGTATCGTGTTGCGTCTTTTCAATTATTTCCTTTTCAATCGTTCGTTCGACTACAAGCAAATTATGCTTAGTTTTGACAGCGGGTTCAGGTACGTTGCTAAATAAATCATCCAAATCGTAGACACCGAGAACATCAAAGTCTTCCCAGGTTACCAGCAACTTTTCTTTTGTTGCTTCATCTATTTGAGCAGCCACGAGAATCAATGAACACTTATCCAAAAGGTCATTTTCCTTCCTAGAAATAGCTTCGCACAACCTAGAGAACTTTTGCACGGAATCAGTATTCAAGAGAGCATCACTGCTGGTTTTGATGTTAAAAACAACCCAATGCCGCTTCCAAGTTTTGTCAGCATCATCCAAAAAAGGAGTCCTTTCACGAAGAAGTATATCAGCATCAGTTCCATTGTAAAAATATTCATATAATTCATAGCGATTACTCGGGAGGTTAAGAATATCTCCAAGTTTACGAAAAAGAGCCTCTCCTACAAAGCTACAAATAATATTTTCCATTGCGTACCCCCGGCATCGAGCCCAAGATTTTTCAACAATGTTAGGTCCTTCGTTGTAGTCAGTACAACAAATTCGAAATTTTTTAGAGTCTGAGAAATACGGAATCTCTTTCAAGAGTCCTTGTCTCACCAGTTGAGAAACATCTTTTTGAAGATCTTGCTGAATAGCCATCCTGTTGACACCAGTTGTTGGAATCGCGTTGAGTAAATCAGCACTGATGCATCTTTCCCAAAGAGCTGTTCTGGCTTCATCGATACACTTATGTAGTAAATCCTGTGGAAATTTCTCGCCAAGAGCAATTTTGGATCTGGTATCGTTATCCAATTGAGCAAGCATGTCTTTTGCAAGAGTTGTTAAAGGTACGGATCGCCACCAAAGACAGTCCAAAAGTTCAGAACACAGATGGAGCTTACGTCGTCAATTTGGAATATAGCTCGTATCAGTTGTTTAACTTCCGGAGGTCTTAGATCCGATAAACTAACCCCTGCCATTCTTGCTGAAGCGCTGCCTCCGTAATCAATTGCGTTTTTTCCATGAGGAGGAGTTCCCGTTATTATAAAGTGAGGTCGTTTAGCACCTTCCTTGACAATGAATTCAATGAGTCCAAGGTGTCTTTGTGATTCATCAAATACCACACGCTTAATCCCCTTTTTAAGAAGCGCTCCCATTATCTGACGAAAAAAATCAGAGTTCACATCATAATCACGATGAGGGAGATTATCAAAGTTCAATTGTACGCCCAACGTATCGGCAAGGTATTTACAATAACCAAACCGGACATATTGAACATTTAGATAAGCAAGAGGATTGCGAGAAAGCTTAAATGGCAGCATCGAATTTTGTGCTTTACCGTCTACTGTAAGACGATTAACAAGACTTTGACCAGAATCATTTTTTGATTTGATGACAAGTGAATGGTCGTAAGAACCAACTGGTTCCTGAATGGAGGTCAACAGAGTATTCCCAGCAACGGCTGGACCATCGACCACATAATGGATGGTGAGCTTGTCAGGGTCTATAGCACCAAGTTTCGATGAAAGTGTTTGCTTGATTGCTACAACCAGGTCAGTAACACTATCAAGTGGAAAAGACCGCAAAGCAGTCCTTTCATTATTGATATAAATATCAATCCTGACTGGCTGATTGTCAAGGTATTGAATGTAAAATACTTTGTTTTCCATTGTAATTGTGAAAGAAATAAAATAAAAAAAGAAGAAATAGGACGTGAATTTGTCACATTCAACACTCGATATTGTGTGATGAGACAAATTCACACTTTGAATAGTTTAAATTAAGCAATTTTGTGTGAAATTAAAACTGTTAAATTAAACATTTGTCGTGTGTTTATTTGTATTGTTCAATCAAGTGTCAATTCAACTCAACAATTGATCACACTATAATAGTATATCAACCAACAAGACCAGTTTTGTTGATTGATAACTTGATGAAAAGGTGTCAAAACCATGACTTTTCTGTGGTAACAATATTGTACAAACTGTATGTGTAGATTCTACTACTAGATCAGCACTCAAGCCATACCAACACAGAGAGTCAAGTCTTAATGGCAGGATGACAACAAACGAGGTTTCTTTTTGGGAATCATCCAAGAGGGAGAAACCTCACACATCACTCGACTGCACAACCTGCTGACTGCCAACCAATTTGCAGAGCAGCAGGAATTCTCAACCAAGATCCAGTTGGCAGACCCAGAACATCATTGTACATTCATTGATGACATGTTTGGGTATTACATACTGCCATTCCACAAAGACTACAACGATTCATCCAGCTGCCACACTCCAGTTTCATCAAGGGCTCCGTCAAGAAACAACTCTGCTGGAAATATAAGCAATGCCCCAAAAGAGGAGCTGTCTCACAGGGACTTGAAGAATGCTGTCGAGAAAAGAGACGTTGCCTGCTTGTTTTGCTGGGATAAGCTGTCCTTGCAAGGAGCACACATCATTGCTCAAAAAACATTGGAGTAGCGTACAATGAACCATCCATCCTGCAACGATCTGGTTTGACGCAGAAACATCAAATATAGAATGGTTTGTTGTGTATCAAATGTCATGACCAGTTTGGTAAACTAAAGCAATATGTCGATGTAGTGGATGACAAACTGGTGATCAAAGTGATCAATGAGACGAGCATTGCACACTGCTAACGATGAAAACTGGACTTGGAGTGATAACCGACAAGCAGTCGAATCCAACAGTGAAATGGCATTGTATTTTGTTCTTGATATCCAACTCTGCAGCCAAACAGGAATGCACTAAAGTTCCACAAGACAGCATGTCTCATTTGGCGTATGGCTGGTGGTGTAGAATCTGACGATGAGTATTGTCCGTATGATGATGACGATGGCTGTACTCCTGTCGATTACCGAAGAATATCCAGAAATGGATGGAATCGAGTGCCATTTTGATCATTGAAAATACTCGATAAATTGTGTTTCTGCTCTTTATAAGGTGTCAACATCAACTGTTGGTATTCACACTCACTACAATGACAACTATTGCTGTAACAGAAACCAGTCTCTTGTAATGAATACACAATTTTATTGAACATTTTCAATAATCAAAGTAGCACTTGAGTCCATCCATTTCTCGATATTCTTACTCCGGTAATCTACAGGAGTACAGCCATCGTCATCATATGGACAACATTCATCATCAAACTCCGCACCACCAGCCATACGCCAAATGAGACATGCTGTCTTGTGGAACTCTAGTGCGTTCCTGTTTGGCTGCAGAGTTGGATCGCCAAGAACAAAGTATAATGCCATTTCACCATTGGATTCGACTGCTTGTCGGTTATCATCCATAAATTCCTGATTATCCCGTCGGCTTCCCTTTAGTGTCTTTACAGCCCGTCTCCAATTCATGTGCTTGTTGAGTCGTTCGTCTCATTGATCACTTTGATCACCAGTTTGTCATCCATTACATCCACGTATTGCTTCAGTTTGTCAAATTGGTCATGACATTTGATACACAACAAACCATTCTGTATTTGATGTTTCTGTGTCAAACCAGATCGTAGCAATATGGATGGTTCGTTGTACGCTACTCCAATGTTTTTTGAGCAATGATGTGTGCTCCTTGCAAGGACAGCTTATCCCAGCAAAACAAGCAGGCAACGTCTCTTTTCTCGACAGCATTCTTCAAGTCCCTGTGAGACAGCTCCTCTTTTGGGGCATTGCTTATATTTCCAGCAGAGTTGTTTCTTGACGGAGCCCTTGATGAAACTGGAGTGTGGCAGCTGGATGAGCTGTTGTAATTTTTGTGGAATGGCAGTATGTAATACCCAAACATGTCATCAATGAATGTACAATGATGTTTTGGGTCTGCCAACTGGACCTTGGTTGAGAACTCTTGCTGCTCTGCAAATTGGTTGGCAGTCAGCAGGTCGTGCAACTGAGTGGTGTGTGAGGTTTCTCCCTCTTGGATGATTCCCAAAAACAAACCTCGTTTGTTGTCATCCTGCCATTCAGACTTGACTCTCTGTGTTGGTATGGCTTGAGTGCTGATTTGGTAATATTCATTCAACAGTTGTGTTGTTGCTGTCTTTGTTGTTTCAATATTCATTTGATGTTTTTTGACAAAAGAATGAAACTCGAACCAACAAAAATAATTGCAGTCAACAATCAAATTGGACAATATTCACCAATAATCTTTTAAACTCGTACAGTTTGTACAGTGTTGTCATGAAAGTCATGGCTTGACACATTTTCATCAAGTTATGAGTGAATATCAATCAACAAAATTGGTATCACTCGGTGTCTTGTATATACTATTAGCATGTATGCATATCTGAATATGCCGAGTTTCTGTAAATTGGAATATCTTGGCCAAAAAAACACCAAACTCGACCACACGAAAATAGTCGAGTTAAATCTACGCATTTCTTTAAACACATGATACACGCTGAGAGTAATAGTTTACAATTTATCCTTTATACTCATCTCCATTGTCGCTAGCTGTAAAAGTTAAACTACTCCCAATTGACCAAAATCATTGAACCCATGAGTATTGGACGTGCATCACTAGCAAAGCTTCCAGCCATCTCATCTACATCATCGTTTGGAGCAGTACCATCTAAATATAATGGAGCGTCTTCAAAGCTTCCACATCAAAGTGACAAACCAACTCGCATTCAACAGACACATTCTCAGCAGCAGTACCTTCGTGACCTCTTTCGCATGCGATATTTCCGGTTTAAATCTAAAGATATTGACAAGACAATCGACTTTTATACTACGTTTGGAATGAGTGTAAAGTATGATGGTGAGCAAGAGTGTGTATTGGCACCCGTTCCTCCTATAGCTCCTCAACCTATACAGCACTCTACATTTGGTAAAGCAAGAGCCATGGAAATGCATGTCGCTCATCAGATACATGCTGCAAATGGAACAAATGGGTTATTTGGAAAACAGCCTGCCGCGCTTAGAAAAAATGATATAAAACATACATTTTCCAACTCTGCGCTGAACGATAGAGATAAAAATGACGATGATGAGGTGGATTCTCGTGCACGAGTGATTATCCTTTCATATGATGCCGTAGCCTTGTCGCATAATAAGAATGATTTTGACCACGCTGATAGAATACAGCTGATTTTTGAAGATATTGTGAGTTGGTAATTGTATGGATAAACCGTGTTGCATCTATTCTACAACCAATTGTATTGTACTTATAACATTGCCTATTTTTCAAACAATTTTATTTTTATTGCAATTGTATCCCATTAGTCGACTCGAAAAGATTCGACATTGGATTCCAAATATATTCCTCAGTCAGACATAACAGATAGGCCAGTGACTCAACCTAAAACCGATTCTTTTATACCAGCCCATCATGGCGCTACACATCCTCGAATGGAAACAAAAGTGCAACATAATTACGAATACTTGGTGATATACGTTCATTTTATTCATCGACTTGTAAAACGATTTAGTGCCAAAGGCTATGATATTGTATTACCGCCAACGGAGCTAGATTCCATGAAATTGTGTATTCTCAAAGATCCAAATGGCATTGAAGTGCGATTGTATGACATGCCAGATTCTTTGTTGAATGAAAGAAACAGCAAAAACCCGGTAAATATATTTTTCTAGATTGTCAAGACAATGCATTGTAAATTGACAACAATTTAGAGTTTATGGTTCAGAATACCAAGATATGTTGTTAATCCATATTTACTCATGCATGTTTTAGTGGTTTACCAGACTAGGATACTACGCCATTCCAACCTCTTATGCAAACGATACTGCGCTAATGTATGAGGCTCTTTTTCAAATTCGCACACCAAAATCATTGGTAGGAAAAGAGGTAAAAGAGAGACTAGATCAAATAACTGGTCGAGAGCTAGATTCAGATAATGCTACATCCCAAACGCGTAATCTAAGAAAGATGGGTGCAGTAGGCACTGTTCGTCAAGCCATATCCAAGGCACAAGGATTTCGATTGGTTGATATGGATGAATTTGTAGTGGGTAAGTTACAAATAGGTTTATTTGGTGCTTGAAAATATCATGCAATTCATATAGTAGCCTCGACTGGACTCCATTCTTACATATGTGTGCAGACTGTCAAGCTCACCATGCCAATACTGACTTTTAGGTCTCAGCAACACGGTGTTTTATTGGCTTGGAAATGGTCTACGAACATCTGCGTGCACACTCTGTTTGACCGAAGTTAGCAATTCAGACACTGGTTTGGCAATAACTCAGTTTGACCCAAAAAAATCACAATTGATTGGAATTGGTAAGCTTCAACTTTGAATCTTTGAAAGCACGTAGTGTGCCAACTTTTGAATTATATTTAGGGTTCGAGGTTCCCAATCTTGATGCTGTGATTCACAAGTTAAAGTATGAGACCAAAGACCAGCTTAAATGGAGCAATGTTAGACATAAGATGACTGGAGTAGGTATGGTTGCTAAATTCAAGGACAGACTAAACGGTCTTGCGCTGGAGCTATTTTGTTCAAAAACAGGCGAAGCAGTATTGTCTAAACCCCATCATGAACCAGCTTTTGCACCTGGAATAAAACCCATACCCAAGCCGGCAGTAGGAGAGATCCAATTCATTGGTTCGGCCAACGACTCCTTGACAGAAAACACACGCACAGAGTATTATGATAGTATTGAAAAGTGTAGACGTGTACCAGTGTATGTCATCAACCATAACCATTTGCGTGGGCAAGCCCGGATATTTTCTGCCGATGCAGTTTGTCGCATAAAACAATCTACTGATTATCAATCCATATTGCCTCCCACTCCTCCTCCGCAAATCATCCCACAAGAGCCCAGAAAAAACACCAAGTTTGGTTTACCAGCAGATTTAAAATCCGAAACACATAAAAGTGGTGCAGACTATGCACATATCGGTCATGGCATGTCACTTGCTGCTGGAGAAGTTGATGTGAATGATAATCATGAAAATAGACTGGCTGATAACCATCATTCTAATAGTGTGAATACTCAACATTATGATGACGCGGCTCAACCAAATGATCAAGCCTTTGCTGATTTGAATGAACCATTGGATTCTCCTTTAAATCATGTACGTCCAAAAATCAAAACCTATGACGATCATCTTCGAAAAATATTTGTAATGCGAGGAAAATGTGGATCTGCTATGTTTTAAAACCGTGATTATATCACCAAAAGCAATAAAGACATGTTTTTGCTGACTCGGAGCTGTATTCACGTAAAATGATACTTTTCTGTATTGATCTTGTAATAATTGCTTTGGAATAAATAATGGTTACATATTCGTTGTTGTTGGAAATTGATTATTTCTTTTATTGAAACTCTGTTGTATTCTAACATCACATAGTTTTGCGATCTAGCCCAAGAGAACATCTCAGGAATGCAACAGTTGTTTCCATTCAGTCACTTGGTGTTTAGTTTAAATGCTTGTTTTGAAGGTTGAAAAGATGTGGAATGTATTTTTATACAAGAATGAACATGGAGAAAACCAGTGAATTAATGAGTTTATAAAACAATATTGTCCAGTAAGATTGGCACCAATCAAACATGAAATTAACTGTTTATCATGTATTTCGACTTTGATGTTCCATTGAAAGCCCGGTTAAACAAATGAACATAAAGTATAAACATCAAATAGTATTTGAATAAAAACATATTGTACCAAACTTATTTTAGGTTTCTGTATTGCATAATCAAGCATACGAGTGATACACCCAACAAAAAGAGTTGATCCGACAAAAATCGAGTGTTTCAAAACTATACAGCTCATCAGAAAATACAACCAATTTTAAAAGGAGGCAATCAAAAATTTAATATCAACATCGTGTATAAAGTTTAGTTAAAAGTGTAAAGGATTGAGCAGTTAATCAGGATATAAAGAATGATTTGATTACATAAAGTCAGAAAAATGCGTATGCTGCAATACAAATGAGCTTGGACGAGTTTGTGATGGATCAAAGTTTCACTGTGATGGGTAGGAATGTAAAGAGAATCAAATAAAATAGCATGGTCTGGTAAGCAGCTGAATGAAAGTAAAGCAAGATATGACTTTAAATGATAAGAAACTGATTTTAAAACACTTGTTTGTATGACCTTGATAAAGCCAGACAGTGTAAATAATAGTGATCATGACAAACAGTGGGCGAGTTCCAGTTCAATATCAACTCTCCGAGTGTTTGCTGTAGGCATTTTTGTTTTTGATACCAACTCCGACATTGGAGGAAATTCTATGGATTGCATCTTCTGACGCGCCATCACCAGTTGATATGCTACGAAGAAAATTGCGATGTGCAGCAGATAGAATATGCCGCTTGAGTGCATCGGATCTGGCATAACTCCTTTGACAAGGTTCGCAATGAAACTGCTTTCCTTTACCGTGGATGGAACGAGCATGTCGTGAAAGATCATGCTTACGATGAAAACTTGTTGAACAAATGCTACATACATAAGGTCTGTCTTCCGCATGAAATCGTCGAACATGTGCTTGTAAAAGGTGCTGGCTTTTAAACGTCTCTTGACAAAGAATATTGGCACAAGGAGTCATTTCGCTATATGTAAATTTTTTGGACTTGGTAGCTGGACGCTCGAGTGAGGCAGTTGATTTGATTTGCAATTGAGCAGCAGCAGCAGTAGCAACTGAAATGGGATCATTATCGACATTGAAACACGAATCCGAGTCTGAATCTGAAAAGATTGATTCTGGACGAGATGCTGATATGGTTTCCTTTTGGGGCAAAGGCGGTGATGAATGAGTTCGACTAATTTTGGAGACGGGGGAAACAGAGCAAAGCGGTGACAATAGCTTTGTAGCTCGCTTGGCAGACATGGTTCTAATGCGAGGCAATCGCTTCCCAGCAGAACGAGTATACTTTTTAACAGGAGGTGAGAGTCGAGTACTACTGAGGTGCGAGGGACCGCTCCACACATCAGGCGGAGTCAATACAGGAGTTTGAGCACTCGTACTGTCCACATATGAGCACGAATCAGCAGGAAAAAGAGAGGCTTCGATAAATGCAGGAGCAGAAAAAGATGATACCGAGGATGGTAATGTCGCGCTTGCCAAGTAATTAGAGTGATTGGTGCCAATATAATTAGGATCAACGGTGATTGGAGGCACATGTTGAGGATTCAGTAGCCATGGTGTGTGATATAACCGATGATCTAAAGTATCTTCAGATGAAGTCATTGAAAGCGAACTATGCTGAGATTGGTTTGACTGCTGAGGAAGTAGTGGTAGCTGCTGAAAGAATGGTGCAATATGCGATTGCGATTCGTGACTACCAGAAGGAAAGGTAAACGAGTTTGGATCCATAAGCAAATCCGAGGCAGCTACAGTATGCGGCATGGAGAAGCTGCGTTGGTGATTGAATGAGTCGTAGTGCTGAAAGGGAATGTGTTGATAGAGTTCGGGAAACCTGGCACGAGCAAGAAGGCCTTGCTCATCTGACTGCTGAAATGACAGTGGATTGTGACCGATTCCAGTCTGAATCTGTTGCAACGGTTGCGGTAGAAGCAGGGTACGCTGAGGAAACATCATTTTGGTGGAGGTAATTGACGGTGTCGGAGTTGTACGAAGGTTTCCAAAGTCTCGTTGGGTACCAACTACAGAACTATTCATGTTTGAATAGGATGGGAAAAGCGAACTACTCATATCCCACGTCATCTGCACGGGAGCGATTGGAGACTCGGCAGGTCCGCCATACATGAATTGCATAGCACGATCGTAGGGCACATCTGAAATGGCAGAGTATTGGGCGGAAAGTGGAGATACATGGGTTGAGCGAGGTGATATAGGAGAAAACTGTTGCTGCTGTTGATCGCTTAGGGAAAGAAATGAAGTTTGAATAGGCTGAAGATGCAGCTTATGGTGGGTATGCGGCATGGACGATTTGAGTCCAAATCTGGCTTGAGTCATCATCTTTTGCTGAAAAGGAACGGAACCTGTGGTTACCACAATAGCAGGCAACATCTGAGTCATGGTTTCGGAAGTCATTCCCGCATGCACCGGTGAAATAGGATCTACCATGAGCATGCAGTTGGCATTTCCGGTATCAGCTAAAAGATTGGGATGTGGGCTGTCAGAGAATGCCCCAATACCTTGACCCATTACAGAAACAGTAGCAATACCATTATGGATACCACCCGATAGGCCAGCCGCATGTGATAGATGGGTGATTCCGGTAGTTGGGGATGTAAGCATAGTTATGTCTGGACTATGTGCCTGCAAGTGGCCATTATGATCTATACCAGCATGTCCATTCAGGTTTATAGAAGTTAGTATTGCCTGGCTATGGACCAGCTGATGGCAGCCATCCGCGAGTGCGGTGGTGTCGGCAGATGGTAATTCAACGGATGCAATATAAGGAATAAATTGTTGCTCTGAGAGTGGCTGGGCAAACTGCTGGTGTACGGCAGTGTTAGACGAACAAAACTGCTCAGCATCGTTTAATTGCGAGCAGGTGCTATAATCCATGGATGAATTTTTGCACTGTTGCTGATTGTGAATAAAGTCTTCAAGTTTGATATATGGACTTTGATGGTCAGCGATATGCTTACTATCAATATCTTGCTGTCCATAAATTTTTGATGGTGATAAGGTTAGGTTTACATTGAGAGGATGGTGCATTAAGCGATTCAGACTGTCCTCTGCTGCAGCAAATGCAGTTTGATGTGCACCATCATGATCGACTGTGGACCCAATCGTGGTAGGAGTAAAAGAGGCAGAACTACTGATATTCGAGTCTTGAAACGATAAATCTGCCAAGGGATTGAGCATATTTAACAATGACTACGGTTTGAGTAATGGCTCGTACCAGCAAAAGTAGATGTAGCGATTGTCTAAAATAGAGAAAAGATCCAAAGGGACAAGCTGGAAAAGAAATTGAAATACAAGATATATACTGATGAAAAACAGTCAGCAGATGAAATTACTTTAGTAAACCACCGATCAACAAGACTAGAACCAAAGATTGAATCTAGAGTAGACCAATTTCGTGCATAAACAGTTTGATAAAGTGTCAGGCGCGGTTCAACAAAAAGTTTTGGATGGGATAAAGCTAGTCAGGGTTGTCCAGTTTGACTGCTTGTAGCCATTCGTCAACCCACACCTATATTTCCATATGTATTTCAACCCAAAAATAAAATTTGCTGATACATTGCTAATGGAATTTTCATTTGCGAAAAAAGTCGATACGAATTTAGCATGGGTTAGTGGCAGCCCCTTTCTGGACCCATGTTTGATCCTTGTTACCACTAGCAACCCGTTAATGATTTACTACTACTGTCGTATATTCAGTCTGGGGTTTGTTTGCAATGACAAATTTGTCTTGACAGGATAAATTGGACTCGTGACGACCTTGCATGTTTACGGGTCAATTGCATGCCATATAGTCGCATCAAGTTAGTTTCTGATGCAGGGCTCAATTGGCATTGTTGTGTTGGCAATAAAGTGCCAGCTGCAGAGACTTGGGATTCATTGTAGATACACTTGTTGAGTTTTATCAAATGTATTCAAAGTAGGCTTTTCAACAACTTTAGCATCTACTAGTAAATGCTGCTACAAAGTGCCAACAGTTGAAGCAATTGGAGGCCGACTAAAACTCACCCGTGGTTTTAGAGAATTTGCAATAAAATACAGCGTTTATTCCAGTAATGCATTTTGATCTAGTATGCACATTTGGAGTTTTGTAGAATCACCTTTGCTATTTAAACAGTACTGATTGTCGCTATCCTAGTCATGACAGATACAAGGCTTTACAGCTTGTGATAGAGGGTATGAGGATGAAATGGGATTGTCAGCCGTCATCACCATCAGTGTTTCGAAAAGTACTTGCATAAAATTCATCCAACCAACTTTCATGTGTAGTCGGGTTTGGTGATGCTATTTTGCATATACCAGTATATTGTCTGCTGATTTGAATGGTAAAAGTGTCTATTGTGGTTCGTGTACCGTGGCGACAATACGACTTGTGTGACACGATCTGCCGCTTTACTCGATTGAGTATAGGACAGCGTTCATTTAATCTATTGGCGGCTATTTGCAGAGCTTGGTGTTAATCTTGTTCTGGAACAAGAGTTTCGGTATTTCGCTATATAATCTACACTAACCAAAAACTCTTGTTTTTGCAATGCAGCCTGCTTGATGCTATTAGAATACTTGCAAAATATGGTGAGATTGTATGAAATATAAATGAATATTTCTGCGGTTTTATTCAACTGTAAAACGATGAAAGTCGAGCCAACACACAAACCATTCCACCACGTGATGCAGTATAAAAACATGTTGATGGAATAAAGAGAGCGATGGATGGAATGGCCAGACTTGTCATTCATAACTACTAGTCAGTTTATGAGACTTTCATGCAGAAATGTCATGAACTTTTACATCAGATTTGACATAATTCACTAAAAGAATTTATTTTTATATTTGCAAACTTGTGTCGAGTGCACAACAGATTCTGACTTTCCCTTTCATCTGTCGACCGAAATAATCGGAATGCTTGCCATGGTATGTGCATTCTGTTAGCTTGACATAAATAATGTCATACTACATTACTTGTTTATGGCCATATTGATAGTATCTGTTTTTTATCCAAACTCAGCCCAGTGTTTGCCTATATTGACACTCGTCTTATGATTGATGGTATAACCCAACAGTCAATGAATAGCAACAAAACCAAGTCTGTCAAGTCCCGTCTGGGACCAAAGTCTGGAAAAGCATCTGCAGGGACTGGTATGCATAGTGGTTTCAAAACTGGCGGAGTATCCAAAAAGTCGGTGAGTGCAATGTTGGTCAACAACTACTTGTTGGCTATTAGTGGGGTAATGCATAGGTTCAACTTGTATTTATGTATTGATATTGGGTTTCTGCTGTAATAATTGTATAGGATCTACGAGATTCATTGAGCAGCAGCGACTTGAGGAGTATATTAAAATCCAAACCATCGGGAAAACCGACCAAACCCTCTGCACATACTATAGTAAAAGCATCTGCAGCAACTACAACACCAAAAGCATCTGGATCTCACCCACCAAAGCGTCAAGGGAAACAGTCTAATATTGAAATATCGTTCAACTCTTCATATGGACAGTTGCGATCATCTGCGTTTTCTGAAGAGCTTGCAAAGATACGACCGCTTTCTAATCCATCAGTGCCTACCAATAATCGTATTTTTCAAATGGCTGTCAAGACTACATCCGAGTCTGTTTCACCAGCCATTTCTCGCGCTACCACATCTGCTACGCATATAAACCGCTCAGCTGCTCTTTCTACTGCTGACACCCGAGCCTGTTTGGCATCCAATGTTAATTCGAGAAATCATGCTGGATTTGCCATTGAAGTTTGCAATTTGCACCCAACCACCTCTATCGCAGATCTCAAAGTATGAAGGATATAGTTGGTATTGATGTGCATGTTTTTGGCACTGTTTGCATACTTTTAAAACAGTGAATTGTGACATGTTACTAACTAGTGGATCTAAACTCATTTATTCATACCAGCTTGCCTTTGAGTCATTGGGATCTATTCGACAAGTGGAATGGATAAACACTCCTGGTGATAACACTTGTCTTTCAGCATATATTGTATATGACGAAGAATTGGCTGGTCGAACTGCTATTTCACGGTACAACAACATGCTTGCTGATGGTAAATTGTGTTTCAAATGATTGCAGCTTTGTTTGAATGTGCATTTGCCAATAATCTATTGATCATCTATTTACCAATTGTTGTGTATCTATAATGGCGGATTGCTATTCGATAAACTGTTTTTAGGAAAAATATTAAAAGTAACTCATGTCAATCGCGGACTTGCCATTGCAGGCATTGCATCAAGCTTACCTCGCACCCAATTTCCATCTAGTACCACTACTCAGGATCAGATAAATCAGTCAGTGGGTACTACTTTTCCTGGTGCATCCCAGCAGTTGCTTCAGTCCCACTTTTCCCATGCCAACTCGCGCATGGTTGGTGGTATGCGTAGCATGTATAGAGACAGCATATAGTTGTCAACATTGTGCTCTACAAATTCATAGTATTTGATAGATGAATTCAATGCACCAAGCGATTCTCAATTCACTGCTGTATTACGCAGAACAGGATACTAAGAGTCGGGATAATAAACAGTTTTGTGGAATGATTGCCCGTCTACTGGACAGTATTGTTTTTTTGAACCCTTTAAAGAGAATAAGATGAAAAGTTGCTAGTAATTATATCATTTTATTAAGCTAGATTTGGAAGCTACACTATTTTGTAATGAAACTCCACCAGCGGTGCTTTCTCTGGCACTACTGATACTGTTGGCAGCAGACTCTACTCCAATAACTCCTTGAATTCCTCGATGAACATCCTTGACTCCTATTTCCAACAACCGATGAGTATCTACTGTTCCTCTCAGCAACAACGTCAACTCATCCAACGATCTGTCGAGGTTTTTGCAAGTACGATCCAATGCATCATCTGTAGCCACAAACGACTTGATTGCCTTTTGAGTTGCATCGGAGGAGTTGGAACTACGAACTACAGCTTTTCCAATTGCAGACCATTGGGAAAAGATATCTGTTGCAGTGGTGGTGAGTTCAGCCTTGCTTTCTTGAAGAAGAGTGTGTTTATTAGATGAATGCAAGACTAGTATGGATAAAGAGATGCAAATCATGTTTAATCTGGCTAATGCAAGTGGATGTATCGAGTAGTGCAAGCATTGACTTACCCATGTTATAATTATAAAGTTGAGATTAAGTTGTGATGTTATTTCTACACGACATTTGATTCATCTTGCAATACTTGGGCTCACTTATTTCATCTCAATAGTACATGGTACAGTTGGATAGTTTTAAAAATGAATTCAACTTGAAATACTCTTGACTGTTATTTTTATATCTGAAATCCGATTTGCTTCATCTAAAGCACTTTGATTTTAGTATATATTTTGGGATATCACTCATATTAGGAATACATGGCCATACACGTTAAAAAGCAACCCGAGTATAAGTTGTATTCCAAAAGACAAATAGTAAATCAAAGACTAGATCAATAAAGTCCATTACAAGCCGTTATTATCTACAAGGGTTGAGAATCTGGTTTGCAATCCGATTCGACAGGCTGTAATGAGTTTAAATAGTTATTACGCAGTTGTTCGATTCTAGACTCTTCGCTGTATCGATGCCACAATCTAGTTTTAAACTCGACCATGCCAAGCCCAACGATCCAAGCGGAAACAACAACCAACAAGCTCATTGCAGTGTGGGACATGTACTTTGGGGTGGTATTTGCTTTTACAGCAGCCTCGGATGCATGGGTGTATTCGTGACCATAACCATAGGTATCGGCAGTCCATCCGTAAGGACGACGATAGCTGCGAGTGTATGGGTTATACTCTGGATGGTTGGGTGGTTTCCAAGTGGGTTTAGGGGTTTCAGATGAATGAGAGGTGTTGGAATGGATAGAATCTGTATCGTACTGCTGACGAGATTTGGGGTTTGAAAGGACTTGATAGGCTTGAGCTACACGAAGAAACTCATCTTTGGTGATATGTTTTGAAGGATGACTTTTAGTTTCTGTTGAGGCAGTCGCTTGTTTTTTAATAGACTGTCTGTCAGGATGAAGCAACATGACTTTACGAAGGTAGGCTTGTTTGATATCACGACGAGAGCAGTCGATTGGCAGTCCCAAAGTTTTGTAGTGATTATTTGAAACATGCATACAACGTATTTGGTTTAAGACGATGGTAGGAAATGCAATAATCTGTCGAGACATGGTTATAGTTGTAGATGATGATTGTCGAGTTGAATAGTTTAGTTGTTGTCACGTGTTGTCAAGACAAAAGGAATGAGAACGCAGTGTTTCAATTTCATGAAACCATTCTAAAGGTATCAATCATTGATGTAATGTAGTCATTCTGCTATTTAAATCAGAAATCTACTAGTATTTTCAAGATGATTCAATCCAACCGCGTACAAGAGAATAGTTGAATAAACCTTTAAATACTTTTTAAACATTGATAGTCAATGTAAAGAAGAATAAAATCAATTCAATTCAATTCAATTCAATTCAATTCGAGAATCAATTCAAACTGACTGTTTGAAACTGCAGACCGCTTTCATATCAAATCAAACCATCGGTTTGAAACCGATAAAAGGCGGCACTCGAATTGTTTTCAACTCGATTTTGTTGAGTTTAGTCAGAGATTATCACTTGGCCTTCTGTTATATACTTGTCATTGTAATTGGAATATACTTTTGCTCCACACATTCATTCATGGATAACCGCATGTATTCACCTGCCAGTGCTCGACGAGCTCGCGATGGTGTTGGGCTGGATAGGCGTCCTTTGGCAAACGGTTCGTCTTCGTCTGTGCTGCATGGCTCTTCGCTGGATCATAACGACCGATCTTCCTCTAATACTCCTGTTGCTCCTTTCCAGCGATCTTCCTCTGCTGCTTCTATTCGTACCGAGATCTCTCGTCCTGACACCCCCCTTGCTGATGACGGTAGTGCTCCATACTTCTCCAGAGCTCAAGGTGGTGTTGGTGGTGCCAATGTGCAAGTGTCTGGCCATGATGATGTCGATGGCAGTAATAACAGTGTCCAACTTCCTCCTGCTGCTTCTCGAATCATGCTACAGACTGCTCCTCCTAGAGCTTCCAAGATGATCAAGGGTGGAGTTAGAGCTAGACTCACTACTGAAACTTCTTATGGCGGCAAAATGACATTCGAGCTGTCAAAGGAAATCACCACCATCGGTCGTAAAGAGGACAATGACATTCCTATTTCTGACGGAAAGATATCCAAATACCATGCTGAAGTACTTCGATCTGCTGAAGGGTTTGTTCTACTTTGATTCCAATGTATATACTCTTGTCAATTCGCTATCTTATGCTTTTTTATCTTGTTCCTTTCATTCTGCCATATGGTGCTAGATATTTCATTCGAGATAAAAACTCTTCAAATGGCGTTCGAGTCAACGGTAATCTGATTGTTCCTGGAAAACCTACTCAGCTCAAGGATGGTACAACTGTCGAGATTGGTGGTATCTCGCTCGAATTTCACAATACACTTCAGCAGGCAACTTCATCGCTTTCTCCTGTCGACCAACAGGCTGACTACTTGGATCTTGTCACTATTTTACCCTCTGAATTCAAGTACGAAGAAACCGTAACAATTCGCGCTGAACTCGAAACCGAAGAGGATGTTGGCTTCTCTCGCATCGAGGAGGTCGACGATGTCGAAGTACTCAAACAGGATTACGAAAAGCTTCGTCTTGCATACGAGCTTTCCAAAATGTCCGTCACTGACGATATTGGCAAGCTTCTGGCTAAATCTATGGAGCTTATATTCGATGTCATTCCTATCGATCGTGGTGTTGTGCTACTGGTCGATCAAAACACTGCAGTGCTTTCTCAGCATTACGTCAAACTTCGCGAGGGAAAGGCAAACGAAAATAGAGAGATTTTGCTTTCTTCCACCATCTTACAAAAAGTATATACCTCTCACAAGTGCTTGATTTCGTCTGATGCATGCGAGGATCCCATGCTAGGGAAAGCTGCATCAATCATGACAGGCCAAATTCGATCCGTCATTTGTGTTCCTCTTGTTGCACACAATATTGTCCATGGCATATTGCATTTGGATTCTCGTGATCGCATCAGCTCATTTTCTAGCAAAGATCTGTCCCTGGTCAAAGCCATCAGCAATCAAACTGCAATGGTGATTGAAAATATGAACTTGATCAAGGAAGTTGCAAAAAAGGCTCGAATCACTGAGCAACTGTCTCGTTTTTTACCCCCACATGTCGTTGAAAAAATGAAGGAGCATCCAGAAATTATTCGTAAAGGAGGTCGGGAAACAGTCGGCACCGTCATATTCGCAGATATTCGTGGCTTCACTAATTTATCTGAAAAAAGTACTCCTGCAGAGGTGGTCAACCTACTTAATGATTACTTTGAACGGCTGGTTAAAATCGTGTTTAGGCGAGGTGGCATTGTTGACAAATACGTTGGCGATGCTCTCATGGCTGTGTTTGGTACTCTTGTGGAGGATAAAGATGCCGAATATCGATCAGTAGTTGCTGCATTGGAATTTCAAGAGGCTATTCGCGACATGAATACTGAACGGATGCGCTCTGGCAAAGACTCCATCTCTATTGGTGTCGGTGTCAACACAGGTGAGCTTTAATCATGCCATTTAATTCATCTAATACTAGCTATCTGACCATGTTTTGACTCTACAATAGGCGAGTTACTAGCGGGATTTATTGGATCATCTCAGCGTTTAGAATATACCTGTATTGGCGACACAGTCAACACATCTTCGCGCATGTGCGACTTGGCACAGAAGGATCAAGTATTGATATCCGAGAGAACATACGAGTGCGTAAAAGACAGAATTGAATGCAATCCATTTGGCTATCATTTGTTCAAGGGAAAGATTAAGGAAGTGATGGTGTATCAAGCTATTCGACTTATCCGACCTTCTTAAAGATTGTTTTGAAAATAGCCGTTAGCTAGCTATTGTTTGAGTGCTTCTTTTTTCGAGTCAAATGGAACTGTTTTGCACGGTAATGATTCGTACTGAACCTCATTTTGTCACTCTTTTGGAAAGCATATTATATTTTACAAGTCCATACCGTGCTTCCTTGGCTTGCTTTTCTTTTGGTAAAACCATCTATTAGGAAATTTAGTGAATGAAATCGAATTTTATTTTATTATACATGCATCTGTTTTTACTGGTTATGTAACAGTGTATGTCAGTGCTTGTGTACATTTCTTTGTAAATAAACTTTAAACCAATCAATACTGATATTAGGATTGCGTGTTTATTACAATTCTCACAAGTTCTCGTCTGTGCATTTCTGCATATCACAATACTATATCAAGTAACAGCTGGTTTAGACCTTTTCAGACACCATCTGTTTTATTGAATATGAATTGTTTTTGATTTGCATTTGTATTCGCGTAAAATGTATTGTGTTTTCATATTATGAAATGATTACATGTTTGTTTGGTTGATATTACACATTGACTACTTGTTTGATATACAACAATCGGATCATAATGTTGAATCTACACTTTGTGCACTTTTAGTAATCATACATTGTACAATTACCAAGTTTGAACCCACATTCATGTATTGTGTTTGACTGTCAATATTGTCAATACAACTCTGTACACTCATTTGTTGTTCATCACCATCCAACCCAATCTCACCATTTCAATCAATCTTGGTCAATGTTGATGATTTACACGCTAATTCATTATCCAATCTTGTCTGACATTATTATTGGTTTTAATCACGTTTGATTTGTACAACTGCCATGAGTTGCACTACCATTATCATTGTGTATCTGATCACCAAATATTCCAATACATCAATAATACCACAGTGTAAACAGTAATACAGTTGATCAGTATTGTGGCAAGACTTTTCATTCAAGTTTGTATTTGGAAATACTCGATGGTTTAATCACAACACACTGTTTGTAATGCGATTGTCATCTCATTTCATCTCATCACATTTGATTCCATCTGATTTATGATGATGTTTAGTAATCCATTACCATGTGTTGTAGTAAACTAACTTGTTTATTGAACCAAATCCACAACAATCACATTCAGAATATTAATTTACAGTATTTCTAAATGCATGTTTGATAACAATCCAATTTTGTTACAACAAACTGATCAAAACAATACTAAAATGGAACAACTCGTTTGTGTGTTTGACAACAATCCAAACATGAACAATTCTTGGCAATTGTTGGACATTTGCATGAATGAAATTGTCATCAAAATTCAACTTTACTAATTTTATCAAACATGGATTGTGTTGATGGCATCAGAAAGTTGATTCAACACCTGGAAGATCTGAAACTGTTAACAACGGATGATCAACTATACAAGGCTGAACAAATATGGGACAGACTGCTTGTATTGATACAGAGGTTGAAAAAATATGATTACGGTAAGTTTAATAGCAGTTGTATTATTGATGAGTTCAAACTGTTGCTGACTTTGTGTTGGTTTGGAATGTCAGTATCTACATATGTAATGCAGCGCTTACAGAGTATTGGACTGGAAGATATCGCAGCCGAGTATTTGGAGTATAATCGACCCAGTTTACAGGTATTCATATATTGTAACAATAATGGATTGTTCATGACTAAAATAACCAACATGTGTTGTGTAGATCGAAGTAATGAAGTTTACTGCAGTGTTTTTGAGTATGGTATACTATGATGATGATTTTAAAGTATCTCATCGACTAAGCAACCAACTTGCACAATGCATGCAATCACCAAGCCGTCAAGTCAAAATGATGGCAAGTCATGATTGATATTGATCAAATGATTGAAATCCAACTCATCTGGTATCAATATGCATATAGGCGATGAAATCATGCACAGAGTTGCTCGATTATGGACGCTGGAGGGAAGAGTGTAAACTTGACATCAAGCCAATGGCTGAGATTATTGTTCATGAGTCCGATCAAGAAATGCTCAGATTGTCGATTGACCTGTTCTCGGCCGTTTGCCATAGCATTGACGATGAAAATGTATGTTTACAATGATACAATATTGGATCAGTTTGGACAGTGTCTTGTCATGTCATGTTGATTGTATACTTGACATTGAACAATATCATTAGTTTGGCATCGTGGTATCAAGACTTGTTTCACGACTGGAGTCATCCAATGGTCTAGTTGCTGTTGGGTTTATCAAAAATCTTCAAACCATATTTTGTAATATCTATCGTCATGACCCAGTAAAAGCAGCTGAATGTGGCATCATTCCAGCAGTAGTCAATATGCTCAGGTATGTGATGTTATGCATGAATGTGTGTCCAGTCATCACAATTGGTAAATTTGACATGGTTGGATTGACATGACATGAATACAGGAGTGTCGACCAAGAAGTGATTAGTCAAAGTATTTATACTATTCAGAGTTTTTGCGACTATAAAGATTGTGAAATAGTTTCAGCCGAGTTGATAAGGCTGGATTTGATTCAAACACTGAACGACTTGTGTACCAGATACAGCGACAACTCTGGACTAAGAGCACGCATAATCGAAGTAGCTGGAAGAGTTGCATCCAAAATGCACGAATTTCCTGTATCGCTTGTACGGTCGTTGATTTTTGAGCAATTGACGATGTCAGTGTGTGATGCTGGTATACGTGACTCTTTGTATCTGTTTGAATATGTCAACGACATGATTGAGAAATCTACAAACAAGGCCGAGATGATCAAGGTGTTTCAAGAATATGGAATTGTAAAGCAGCTCATCACTATTTATTCACGTAGAGATGTAAATCTGTATGATTATGGTAGTAACACTAGTATTGTAAACCTACTCAAAACACTTGTTGATTTTGCCGACAATCATTCCGACAGTTCAATACGTACCGAGTTGGATCAAGGCGAGATGTTTGAAAATCTAATGTTTATTGTAAAATCGAATACTACTAATCACACAAACAAAAGGGTTGCTGGCCAGATCATTGAAACGTGTTTCCAGCATCGGGTTCACGTTGCTAGTTCAAGTATTCAGCTATACAAGGACAATGCCGAAATTGATATGAAGTCTGGAATGGCCGGATATAAACATGGAAATGCACGCACACTTGCTCAAATGCGGTATGTCCGGTATCTGCAATCTATACTTTGCAAACCCATGTGGTGGATCGATATCACAAACCAGCATATTGTGGAGCAATGGAGGGCTGACTCACTCGGTCAGAATATATCACCATCAACATTTAATCTTGCATTGGAACAACTCGGTGTTTTTGTCAAACAGCTTGTTTGTAGTGGCAGTGATGGATTTGGCACGATTGTCCCAGGACCTGTTGAACTGACGTATATACTGGACAATGGCATACCTGACAATGTATACACGCGATTGATGACAAATGTATCGGATATTGAACATGGATCAAATCACAACACTGGTCAAATGGTGCACAATCTGATTGATGCATCAATGTACAGTGTTGTATATGGACAAACGATGATTGCACCACTGAGTATACGACTCAAATACACCACAATGGTACCATGCGATATATTGCTATCGACTCGACTTGTTTCAGATACGCCCATCATTGACAGCAGTCCCAAGTTTATATCATGCAAGTTCCAATGTCTTCCGAGTGAATTCCGTGTCGAACAGGATGGCAGTGTGACCATCAACTCATACATCAACAATCTGAATCCGATATGGCATCGAGACATGTACAAATGTATTGCCAAAATATTCAAATGTTTTGTCCCAATGTTTGAAAGTCTGTTCAGAACGATGGATCCAATGTTCAAGTATATTGATATTCACAATGACATACAGGGATATAAACCACCAAACCGATCAAATTATGATGATGTGGAGTCAGAGTCAGACCATGATGATATGGAACTGGATACTCAAGTCATTCGTCCCGTGTATGTACCAACACTTCCGGAACATTTTGAATCCAGTTATGAATTAGCAAAGCCAGTGTCACTGCGTGGTCGTAATCTACAAGTCATTGTCAAACTCACCAACATTCAACTGACACCATCCAAACCTAAATACGACGAGGGAAACTGGCACAATGAATGTCCAATTAACGAATCGATTGTTGCAGTTGGACTGTATTACTACGACGTGGAAAATATCACCACACCCAAACTCGATTACCGCGTGGCTGTTGATCGTTTTGGATATGGAGCGGCATCTAATATGTATTGGAAAGATGTGTACGGCATTATTAATCGAAAATCGCTACAGAATCAGTATATAGGATCGCTTGAAGTATCAAATGGTCGATGTGCAGTTTATCCCAATCGATACCAACACAAAGAACAATCATTTGAACTTGCAGATCCAACTCAACCAGGACATTGCAAGATTCTGACATTTTTTGTAGTAAATCCATCTTGTCGGATTGTTTCGACTGCGCATGTGGCTCCACAACAACCACAATGGTACAACTCGAGTCTTGACAAGGCACACGTACCGCCTGAACTGTGGAATGATATCACGCAGTATATTCAAGGTGTTCAATCACCAACTGAAGCCAAACACTATCGAGATGAATTGACAAGCGACCGAATTCAAATCACAGCGGCATACAACAAAGACATATATGAGCGGGTGTATAATCTTGATCGTTGGTGATGGATTGTAATTTTACAACAATGAGTTGCAATGCCAGTTGGATCTATGCAATTAAATGGATCGAATGAATTGAATGAATTGAATCAATCATGTCAATCATGACAGTGACTGTTGATTATATTGACTGATTGTGTACAATTGATTGATACAAGTGATATGGATGCATCATTCGGTGTTGTTGAATCAGATCACTGCTTGATTCTGTCAATGTGATCAAATGGATTACTACAAAACTGTACATGCTCAAGTTGAATCAAGTATTGAATCGAGTATTGGATTGATATTTACACACAACCACAATTACAACAACAATTGCAATCAGCACAGTCTGAATATTAGACATTTGAACATCACATATCGAGTTGTGGATAAATGCGAGTTGGCATATTGGACTGTTTTTGTAGTTTATTAATGATTTGATTCACGACTGTTTGAATTCAAGGCTCAATATGGATTACAACTGGATTGTCGTTGTTTCCATTTGTGATGACAAATCTGTCAATGTGTTGATTGATTGCTAGTCCATTGACCAATCCATTGATCAGTAATTGTCCAAATCAAAGTTGTATCCGAGTCGAGTTGTCAATCAGGATACCATAACCTGACATCCAAACGATTATTCAAATAATTGTCCAAACCATCAATGATTGCCAGAATAAGCTTTACGACTCGACTGCAATAACCACCACAATCATGGTCAGGTTAGTATGTTGATCCGTTTACAAAGTTCTAATACTGCAACAGATTCAACATACTCTTGAAAGTGCTGCACACCACATGGATCCAGCAAACCCACTGATGAATTGAACCAATCAATTGACCAATGACATGACTCGATATTGGACATCGAGTTGCACACAGTTGGTAAAAAGTTACCGACATGTTCAGATAGTCAAACCTTGACTACAGGTTGATATCATCGCCCAACACACCAAATACAACACACAATCTGGACGATTACTGGATCATATTGTGAATATCAATCAACGGAGTTACTGGTTTCAAACAACCATGTACAACCATGCACAGTCATTACAGGACAATATAATACATTTCTGAATAGCATGTTGTAATCAACACGAGTGGAGTTGTGCAATAGACTTGTAATGGCTTACAATAGTTTGATATGAACATGATGACTCGGACTCTATTCAGTCGGATCAACTCGACTACAATTGGTCGTGTATATTATGATTGACACGATCAATTGTAGTTGAATTCGAATACAGATTGACTGTTGAATCACAATGCGTGGTATCAGCAACATGATGTGCTATATAGTGGAATGTATACGCTAATCTGACATGTGTCATGTAGTGTGTATTCGATCAATATGGGTATTATCAATCAACAAGTCATACGATGTTTGTGTTCGAGTGATGGAATAGAATACAATGGAGTGGAGTGGAATGAGTGCATCAATCCAGAATACGAGTCAACCATGACATATGATCATGATGTGTGGTTGATACAACTATATAGTGACAATCAATGTTGATATAGTAATACCCAACATGAAATGTCAACACAACAGTTGCAAGTCATTGATCATCAATGTGATATTGTGGTTGCAACATGAATTGCATTGTATTGATTCAGTTGATTGATTGAATTACTGGACAATGTGTAGTGATGATTGATCGTGTCGAGTTGAATGGAAAGTATCACCAAACCACGACATGTTGAATCATGTCAACCACAACACATATTGATGACCATCCAACAACTGAGCTGACATTCAGTTGCATATAGTCTTGTTTAAACATGTATATATTTATTCATGTGTTGGCACACCAACCCTTTTTAGGGTGGATAAGGGTGAGAAACTACACAATCAGCCATATGATATTCGAATGCATAACCATGCAGTGGTCCAACCAATATTGCGGTTATATAAATATATATCCCTTTAAACTTTGACATTAATAGCAACAAGCTGTCATTAGCCCTGATAATAAAGCCAATCCCTTAGGACGGTCATCCAAGGAATGTGCTTTTAATATTATCCGTCCAATAATGGATATAAATACGATCCAAAGCCGACGTGTCAAATAACAGCCATTACAACTTGCTCGATCAAACCAGTATAATGAAACTATCAATTGTTGTATTGTCATCGATATTGGCTGTTTGCTCTGTTACTACAGCCATCCCAGTCAATCCCAGTGCAACTGCAAGTGCCGGAGCTAGCACTTCAATCGTCATTCCCAGTGCACAAACTACACCTTCAACTGATCTTAGTCAACTTCCAGAGGAGGGTATGAAGTTGATCAAAGAGTACACACAGACGAAGAAAAGTCGTGACGATGCAAAGGAAACGTATGGCTTGACACAATCTGAAATGCATGTTCAAGAAAAATTGGTAAAACGGCTACATAAAAAAATTAAAAAGTTGCCACGTAAATCTCAGATTAGCGAGAATGGTTCAAAGTACAGCGAAAAACTCCAAAAACTTGAAGATAAACTTGAACAAGAACAAAAAAATCTTGATGAACTTATAAAGAAGCAGCTGGAATTTGGTTGTGCTAGTCTTACTTTCAAATTAGGTAAAATCAAAGTACAACTCGTAAAGTACATATTTGGGGGAAATCTGCATTATCCATTCGACTATTACATGGAACGTTTGACAGCAAGTCACCAGTTTATGGAACTCGTCAAAACATTTGGCAATTACTCACCAAGCCAACAGTTAGGATCCCAGCAAGACTCTACTAGCGGAGCTCATAGTTCATCACAACAAGCACCCCAAGGCTATGATAATTCGGCCTTCTTATATGATGATGAAATGAAAGTTTCAGAAAATTCTGGTACTATGCACTCATCAAGCGAAACGCCTATAGTCCAACCCACTCAAACATCATCCAATACACAGGCAGCATCATCCAGCACACAAAAGGCTTCCAAATCTTCTCGTTTACAGAAAGTTTATCGCGAAATTAAAGGTGGATTTGAATTAGGCTGGAATCAAGACAAAAGTGGTGATCGCAAACCATTGATTGATCCGAATACTAATCTGAACTGATTCTAACCGAGTATGTTATATTTTTGTTTGAATAAAATACAATACAACTACCATTTGACATTTTACATTGGATGTGTATGCATTATATCTGATTATTACACAATCTTGGTTGGCATGATATCATATTGTACATTGACACTTGTATTTCCAATACAATACAATACAGTTGATTGTATATTGCATAGTTGTACACATTGATGATGCTGACATGCATGTGTGTATTGTGTTGATATGATGTTGTTTGTCATGTCGTATTGGCACATGCAATACCAGTACCAATAATAGCCATGTGTGTTGATATCAGATCCGACCAATTTGACTGGTTTGACTCGTTTTACTCGTTGATTGTGGTGTCAAAATGGTTGCATCAATAGCCTGACTGATCACACGCATCAGTCGCAGTGCCAACTTTGTCGTGTGTCAAGTATCACATGTTGATGTATGCAGTGATCGTATACTGGTCGATTGGTGCAATATGATCAGACATGCTAATGGAATGTGATAGTCATGATATTTGCAACAGTATACCATATTAAACAGTTGATATCGCACATTTAGTATCGACATGATCATCCAGATATACAGTGATGGATTCAAACAATCCATGCCATGATTGACACACTTGGAATGTGTATTCAATTCATGCCATGTATTACCAATGCAATAGTATGCGTGATCATCGTGTATCAAACAACTATAATACACACTGGACTAATCCAATACATGCACGGCTTGAACATATCACACACATTACAATGCATGGCATGGCATGATACATCAGCATTGATCAATACTACCACCCAATTCAACGGGTGATCGTTTTGATAGCCTATTGTTTGATCGTTTTGCACTTTCAATTGGTGATTCTAATTCAAGTCGAACTGCAGCAACCGCTTGTAACGCAAGTAGAATGCATTCTAGAGTAATCAACATTGTATCGAGTAGTGTAATGGAAAGCTTTGAATCTGATATATGACTGCCGTTTTATAATGACGGCAGCTTCAAGGGTGACAGTCGGCAATCAGCAATTCTCAAATGAATGATCACAGAAAACAAAAGTACGCCGTGTAGGGTGAGCAAACCCAGAAACACCCTGTAATGAAACCTAATATACAAGCATCGCTGTTAGTGTATAATCGACCTCGGTAGTATGCTGCATTAACATTTTCAACTGCGGTCATGCATCCAGTGATCGGATGGTGTCAGATTGTCACCCTGATCATGGATAGCTATCATCACATATACAATCCATTACTACAGCATATACTGTCACTGTATACCAAATACTTGACTGATTGTTCGATTAGTCATGTTTTGGATCATTCAGACACAACAGCATCAAACAGCCTGTTATTTCAGTATTTCAAAACCATGACTTTTCCATTGGTATGACTCCATGGTCATTTTAGGTTAATGTAGACTGTATACATCAAACACTGCTGATTGTGTCACAACATGATCAACATCAAACTCGGCAATCTGTCACTGCTACACTGAATGAGTGACGTTGTACTATAATCAAATTGGAGATTGGCAGGTCGTTCAACAAACTGGCCGTGTCAACAGGTCAGATTGTCATCGTGTATATGAACCACAATGGATGATCATGCCATTCAAATCATCACACAATATACCGATATATGCAAAACAACACCACCAATACAATACAATACAAATCACAAACGTGGTGTTGAATCCAATGCATGCGAGTACTTTTTAAACACATGATACACACTGATGGTGATGGTTGCTGACAGTCACATTGCAGTGTACATGTCCAATAGTGTCCACTGTCATGTCGATTGTTGCTATCCGTTATATCCAACTGTACTTGTATTCACCAAATGTGCACAACATCTAGGGTTGGTTGCTAGATGCTCTCATGTTTGGCATACAACTAGTCACCATCAGACCAAGCATATACGCTAGTACAGCGCCATGAATCTATTGACAAGTGGTTTCAATTTTATTCTGGCGCGTTGAGGGTTGGATGTGTATTAGACACAATGTTGCGGATATAACTGAACCACAACAGGATGATATCATGCATAATGGTACGGTCTGGATCTGTTTGGTAGATATGCAGCCATATATGACAACCCAATCCGTCCTTTATCACGGGTTGGTTTTAGAAACGTCTGTTATTTTGGTTGATACATGTTTCTTGCATAGATTGGTAGTATTGTGTGTATTTAGTCTGATTCCATTGTAAACAGTCTGGTTGATTACTCATTCACTGCCAATAACCCGTTTGTACAACATAATCGATCATTTGCTCAGTATCGAGTATTTCCAAATACAAACTTGAATGAAAAGTCTTGTCACAATACTGATCAACTGTATTACTGTTTACACTGTGGCATTATTGATGTATTGGAATATTTGGTGTTCAAATACACGATGATAATGGTAGTACAACTCATGGCAGTTGTACAAACCAAACGTGATTAAAGCCAATAATAATGTCAGACAAGATTGGATAATGAATTAGCGTGTAAATCATCAACATTGACCAAGATTGGTTGAAATGGTGAGATTGAGTTGGATGGTGATGAACAACAAATGTGTACAGAGTTGTATTGACAACATTGACAGTCAAACACGATACATGAATATGGGTTCAAACTTGGTGATTGTACAATGTATGATTACTAAAAGTGCACAAAGTGTAGATTCAACATTATAATCCGATTGTTGTATATCAAACAAGTAGTCAATGTGTAGTAACAACCAACCGAATATGTAACCATTGTGTATTGCAATGCAGAATACAGTCATTGCAGGATGAATACGGTTGTAAAAAAGAGCGTTTACAAGGCTACACGACATCCTTAAAGGGTGTGCTTTTCAACATACCTGATCAAAGGGTCGTAAAAGCATAGTTCAATCAACATGATCATCAAATCGATCAATATGGCATTATGATTAGGGAGCAGCATACTGTCTAGTTTGATGGTTGCTCACTACAAGCAATCAAATAGCCCTGTGTCGTTGGTTAAACTAAAAGGGTTGGTTTGCTATACAAAACATACAAATACAATCGAGTATGTTCAATTTCATAATCGACATCAGTTTCAACACTCTACTTTTGTATTAATTGTTTAAACTATTCATCGGCTTAATGAGATTGGTTGATATTTTATTCGTACTGACTGCGGCAGCAACCGTTAATGCAATATTGATACCGGCTGATAACGATCGTTCACTCCAAGCATCAAGCACTTTCAGTCAAGTGTCTGGTCCAACTAATGAACCTAGTTCAGGAACTTCTGACGACTGGCAAAGTATAATGGATGCAGTTAATTCAAGCATTTTCGACGAAGACTGGCGAAACATATTTGATCCGATTGATCCAAGTACTTCCAGCCAAGACCAGCAACATCCAATGTACCAACCCGATTTAAATACTTCTGAGGAATATTGGAAATTTCTAATGAATGAAATCAGTTTAAGCACTCCTGAAGATTGGCAAGAAATAATCGATGCAGTCAATTCAAAAAATTCCAACCAAGACCAACAACAATTAATAGATGAGCTTGATCCAAGCACTTCCAACCAAGTTTTTGACCCAACTAATCAAGTCGGTCCAGGTGCTTTTGACAAAGACTGGGAACAACCAGTTAATGAACCCAGTTTAGATATTTCCGACCAAACTCAGCAACACCTAATGGATGTAACTGATTTAAATATTTCCAACAAAGATCAGCAACAGCCGATTGATGAGCCCAGTCCAAACACTTCCAAACGAGGTCGAAAACGGCCAATCGACGAAATCAGTCCAAGCACTTCTAGCCAAAACCAGCAACAACCAATAGACAAGTCTTCAAATGCTGCTACAAATCAAGCGACTGGATTAAGCCGAAAATATCAGATAACCTTGGATGATTTAAAAAAAAGACTTGAGATATTCAAAAAAGTAGCAAAAAAAAAGCTCAAAGAATATTGTGATCATGAGTCTCTTGGATTAAAAGAATGGTCAGCTTTAAAAATAGGCAGAAAGATATCTGGGTTAAAATACGATTCAGACACTGAAATACGATTGAAACAAGAGTATGTAACGGCAAACAAAAAAGTAAACGTTATCAGACAACAATTGAAAAGGTTTATGAGAAAGCATGGTTTGAAATTTGAAGAACCAAGTTCAGATTCAAATTCGGATTGATGAATTTGGTTTTGAATAAATTTAAGCTTTCTGATGTATTGGTATTTGTCGAGTATTGTGAATGGATCAACAATCATATCATTGGTTGAATACTGCATGTTTGTGTATACTGTGTTGGGTATTACATCAACAGTTACTGGATTGTTGATTGATACATTGGCATGGCTTGTTCCATATACATTAATGACTTGATAACAACCAGTGCTGATTGTACATGTAACTATCACTTGTCAGTTGCATGATATCACCAACTGACCATGTCGTGTATTTTACAACAAACGGAGCAATACACTTGTTTAAAGTCGGATGTAGATTGTGCCATCAACTGGTTTGATATTGGTCAATCAGTGTTGTGTCAGTTTGCAATGTAATATATGTAGTGTGGTATTGGTAGTGTCGTATTGATGTAAATGGACCACTAAATAACAGTGTTGATGTGTAATAAATAGCCAGTGTCATGGACTGATTGACAATTCAATGGTATTGTTGGTGGTGATTGGCATGCAAACAACAGTTGCATTACTGGCATGTGTCATGATTGTAGTTGAACTAGATTGCGATCGTATCCGTGATTCAAAATACAACAGAAACAACAAACGCTGATTCAGGACTATTCCAGTTCAAATCATAGTTTGTGAGCATCATATCACTGACACTGTTTATAATAATTCATAATGTATATTGAATCAACCGTCAATGTCCAGTACAAAACTACAACCAATATTCAGCATTGTTTATTCCAAACCAACAGTCAATCACTGCAAGATAGTGTTCAACTCTACATGAATGCGATTGTATACCATTTTGGTTTCAGCTGTAAATTTGAGCCATTTCGATTTGTCCAAATTTTGCTTGTAATCTGTGCGATTGGTTGTGGATTCAGTGCAAAGGTGAACAGATCTGATATTTCTACTCGAGATACTGGAGTGTCTTGATTGAATGCACTTTAACAAAGCAGTCAATACTATGCTGTTTTGTTGGATCACATCAATTGATATACTCTTGGATACTTGTGGCTAGTTTACTGTGTTGTATTTGTTAGACATTGATTGTGATCTAGTTGAATGTCACGGATAGTAACAATCGACATGACAGTGGACACTATTGGACATGTACACTGCAATGTGACTGTCAGCAACCATCACCATCAGTGTGTATCATGTGTTTAAAAAGTACTCGCATGCATTGGATTCAACACCACGTTTGTGATCGGGTTTGATTTGTATTGTATTGGTGGTGTTGTATTGCATATATCAGTAGATTGTGTGCTGATTTGAATGGCATGATCATCCATTGTGATTCATGTACACGATGACAATCTGACCTGTTGACACGGCCAGTTTGTTGAACGACCTGCCAATCTCCAATTTGATTATAGTACAATGTCACTCATTCGATGTAGCAGTGACAGATTGCCGAGTTTGATGTTGATCATGTTGTGACACAATCAGCAGTGTTTGATGTATACAGTCTACATTAACCTAAAATGACCATGGAGTCATACCAATGGAAAAGTCATGGTTTTGAAATACTGAAATAACAGGCTGTTTGATGCTGTTGTGTCTGAATGATCCAAAACATGACTAATCGAACAATCAGTCAAGTATTTGGTATACAGTGACAGTATATGCTGTAGTAATGGATTGTATATGTGATGATAACTATCCATGATCAGGGTGACAATCTGACACTATCTGATCACTGGATACATGACCGCAATTGGAAATGTTAATGCAGCATACTACCGAGGTCGATTATACACTAACAGCGATGCTTGTATATTAGGTTTCATTACAGGGTGTTTCTGGGTTTGCTCACCCTACACGGCGTACTTTTGTTTTCTGTGATCATTCATTTGAGAATTGCTGATTGCCGACTGTCACCCTTGAAGCTGCCGTCATTATAAAACGGCAGTCATATATCAGATTCAAAGCTTTCCATTACACTACTCGATACAATGTTGATTACTCTAGAATGCATTCTACTTGCGTTACAAGCGGTTGCTGCAGTTCGACTTGAATTAGAATCACCAATTGAAAGTGCAAAACGATCAAACAATAGGCTATCAAAACGATCACCCGTTGAATTGGGTGGTAGTATTGATCAATGCTGATGTATCATGCCATGCCATGCATTGTAATGTGTGTGATATGTTCAAGCCGTGCATGTATTGGATTAGTCCAGTGTGTATTATAGTTGTTTGATACACGATGATCACGCATACTATTGCATTGGTAATACATGGCATGAATTGAATACACATTCCAAGTGTGTCAATCATGGCATGGATTGTTTGAATCCATCACTGTATATCTGGATGATCATGTCGATACTAAATGTGCGATATCAACTGTTTAATATGGTATACTGTTGCAAATATCATGACTATCACATTCCATTAGCATGTCTGATCATATTGCACCAATCGACCAGTATACGATCACTGCATACATCAACATGTGATACTTGATACACGACAAAGTTGGCACTGCGACTGATGCGTGTGATCAGTCAGGCTATTGATGCAACCATTTTGACACCACAATCAACGAGTAAAACGAGTCAAACCAGTCAAATTGGTCGGATCTGATATCAACACACATGGCTATTATTGGTACTGGTATTGCATGTGCCAATACGACATGACAAGTAATATCATATCGACACAATACACACATGCATGTCAGCATCATCAATGTGTACAACTATGCAATATACAATCAACTGTATTGTATTGTATTGGAAATACAAGTGTCAATGTACAATATGATATGATACCAATCAAGATTGTACAATAATCAGATATAATGCATACACATCCAATGTAAAATGTCAAATGGTAGTTGTATTGTATTTTATTCAAACAAAAATATAACATACTCGGTTAGAATCAGTTCAGATTAGTATTCGGATCAATCAATGGTTTGCGATCACCACTTTTGTCTTGATTCCAGCCTAATTCAAATCCACCTTTAATTTCGCGATAAACTTTCTGTAAACGAGAAGATTTGGAAGCCTTTTGTGTGCTGGATGATGCTTGAGTGGGTTGGACTGTAGACGTTTCGCTTGATGATGATGGACTTTTATGATGTTGTGATGAACTATGAGCTCCACTAGTAGAGTCTTGTTGGGATCCTAACTGTTGGCTTGGTGCAGAATTGTCAAGTGTGCTGACGAGTTTTGTAAACTCGGGATCTGATTCCAAAAATCTCGTGTAATATTCAAATGGTTGATACTGATTTTTCCCAAACAAGCGATTTAGAAGCTGCGCTTTGGTTTTACCTAATTTGAAAGTAAGATTAAACAAATCGAAATGCCGCTGCATCTTTATAAGTTCATAGAGAGTTTTTCGTTCTTGTTCAAGTTTATCTTCAAGTTCCTGGAGTTTTTCGCTGTGCTTTGAACCATTCTCGCTAATCTGAGATTTACGTGGCAGCTTTTTAATTTTTTTATTCAGCCGTTTTACCAATTTTTCTTGAACATGCATTTTAGATTGTGTCAACTTCTGCATTTCCTCTGCATTATCATAATCTTTCTTCGTCTGTGTGTACTCTTTGATCAACTTCATATCCTTATCTGAAAAGTTGCTAAAATCAATTGGAGGTATAACTTGTGCACTGGGAATGACGGTTGAAGTGCTAGCTCCGGCACTTGCAGCTGCACTGGGATTGACTGGGATGGCTGTAGTAACCGAGCAAACAGCCAATATCGATGACAATACAACAATTGATAGTTTCATTATACTGGTTTGATCGAGCAAGTTGTAATGGTTGTTATTTGACACGTCGGCTTTGGGTCGTATTTATATCCACTATTGAATGGATAGTATCAAAAGCACATTCCTTGGATGACCGTCCTAAGGGATTTGTGTTGTCAGGGTTGATGGTGATTTGTCATCAATGTCAAAGTTTAAGGGAATATATATTTATATAACCGCAATATTGGTTGGACCACTGCATGGTTATGCATTCGAATATCATATGGCTGATTGTGTAGTTTCTCACCCTTATCCACCCTAAAAAGGGTTGGTGTGCCAACACATGAATAAATATATACATGTTTAAACAAGACTATATGCAACTGAATGTCAGCTCAGTTGTTGGATGGTCATCAATATGTGTTGTGGTTGACATGATTCAAACATGTTGTGGTTTGGTGATACTTTCCATTCAACTCGACACGATCAATCATCACTACACATTGACCGAGTGATTCAATCAATCAACTGAATCAATACAATGCAGTTCATGTTGCAACCACAATATCACATTGATGATCAATGACTTGCAACTGTTGTGTTGGCATATTGCATGTTGTGTGATATTATATCAATATCGATTGTCACTATATAGTTGTATCAACCACACATCATGATCATATGTCATGGTTGACTCGTATTCTGGATTGATGCACTCATTCCACTCCATTGTATTCCATTCCATCACTCGAACACAAACATCGTATGACTTGTTGATTGATAATACCCATATTGATCGAATACACACTACATGACACATGTCAGATTAGCGTATACATTCCACTATATATCACATCATGTTGCTGATACCACGCATTGTGATTCAACAGTCAATCTGTATTCGAGTTCAACTACAATTGATCGTGTTAATCATAATATACACGGCCAATTGTAGTCGAGTTGATCCGACTGAATAGAGTCCGAGTCATCATGTTCATATCAAACTATTGTAAGCCATTACAAGTCTATTGCACAATTCCACTCGTGTTGATTACAACATGCTATTCATAAATGTATTATATTGTCCTGTAATGACTGTGCATGGTTGTACATGATTGTTTGGAACCAGTAGCTACGTTGATTGATATTCACAATATGATCCAGTAGTCGTCCAGATTGTGTGTTGTATTTGGTGTGTTGGGTGATGATATCAACCTGTAGTCAAGGTTTGACTATCTGGACATGTCGGTGACTTTTTACCAACTGTATGCAACTCGATGTCCAATATCGAGTCATGTCATTG